CAATTCTATAAAAATAACACCTTAATGTTACTGTCTTAAATACTAATGTGTCTATATATTTGTACTCCCTCTATCATGTATCTATTATCTATCTATCTATCTATAACCATCTATCTAGAAAGCCAAATCACTGGGTAGTAAGAAAATTACGGTGATTTTTTTCCTGGCTTAGTTTTGCTTATTTTTACAGAAATAGTGTTTTGTCTTATGATATTTTGAACAAGTGATAGATTCTGTGGGAAGTCAGATTGGAGGAATATTAGTTTGGTCACATGTAGAAGTGAGTGAAGGACAAGTCTGAAGGAGTAAGAAGCTTTTTATGCATTCCTCATTTCTGTAACTCAAGACCCTACTCTATGCCAGACACAAAAGGGAGGTCAAGGGCTCTTGAGGAAAGTAGGCACAGGAACAAAGGAAACACATAGGCTCCCTTTGATGTGTTGAATTCTAAAACAGTCATTTCTGTGTGCATGTTTGTCTACATTCTGACTTCAGTCCCACTGTTTAGCCTCTGTCCAAGGAAAAAGCTAAGGCATCACAAAGCTAAGCATAAGGAGCCTGGCTCACACAGCTGATCCCTGAATTCGGGGAGTTGGGTGGGCTCACCATCTGTAGCATCAGGGTGGAGGTTTATGTAAGAGACTACGGGCTGTGACTCCTAAAGGTCAGGCAGGCCCCGCAGGGAGAACCACATTTGAACTTAAGACTTGAGTTTTCATGTGAGACTGGGCATGTGAGGCCGTGCAAAGGCACAGGGGCATTAACATTATGACCTTTACAACAATTCAGGCCCAAGGCACTAAAACTTGAATTTGGCAGTGAGGATGGAAAAGTATGGTCAAAGGTCAGAGATATTATGAAGCAAACTTTCTTCTAGAACTGCGACCTGGGGAGTAGCTGTACAAGTACCCTGGGAAGGTGAGATCAGATTTGAGGGTGAAAACACAGGCTGAATCCTAGACAAGTTCTCTTCCACACTGTCACCCAGTGGCTCAGTTTTACACATCTTTGTCCACTTAAAAAAAAAAAAAGCAGTCTTTGAGTTTGCACTGGCATTTCCTCCAGTGTCTGCAAACCATGGGCAGCCAAGGTCACCAGACCTCTAGAGACTTCTGTACTAGCCCAAACTTTCCACCATAATCCTTATCAGAGGCATTGCTTTCTCTTGCCATTACCTGTGATCTACTGCAGTCTTAAAATGTTAACATTTGTTTTAACTCTTTCAAGATAGAACAGTCACACTCACACAATTTTGATTACAGTGTATGGAATGCTTAGGGATATTCCTTTGCTTGTGTGACCTAGCCCACTTCAACCTCTATCATCTCTCTGTAGAGTAGGCTCCTCTGCTTTGCTAGTCTGTGAGGTGAGAAGTAGGATCCTCATAGCTCCCCAACTTTTATAATTCCGAGACCAGTCCCTCTAGGTTTCCATTTCAATTATATAAAGGCTGGGATTGGCATAGCTTGTATGACAAGGCCTTGGACCAGGTAGTTTGGCTGGATCTCAGGCCATAGAGAATTAATGGTGGGAGGAGGGCAGTTTCTAGAAAAATGAGATATGGGACTGATACACCAATAGGGATCTACCCCCCCCCCCCCAAGACTACCGAACATTGACTTCTTTAGGCCTAATTTCCTTAGTTGCAAAATAGAGATATGTCTTCCTTGTAAATGATTATTGTAATAATTAGGAGGAAAATCACATTGTAATTCTTTGACTTCTTGTTAAGTTCCCTAAGGTGAGAGCAGAATACGTTAATGGTCTATGAAGCCTGAACCAGGATATTTTTTTCAGGTCTTCTTTTAGCTTACAAATGAATGAACATATGGCAGAACTGACATCTCTAACTAATAATGAAAAGATATTCTTCAGTCCACAGTGTCGGGACAACTGGATTACCAGCTGGGAGACAGATGAGGCTGACTCCAAGGTAAACTCCCAATGGAATGGCACAGTTGGAGCCTAGTAAACTTCACAGGAGACAAATGAAATGCGAGAACTTGATTTAGTCACTTTAAATCGGGAAGTAGCCTTTCTCAATATGGCATTGAACTGAGAGCTATAGAAACAAAAGTAAATTCAACTACAAAAACAAATATTACAAATGACTATATGATTAGAGAGAAATATTTGCAATCTGTATCACAAAAAATACTTGCTTTTGAGCTGGTCATCAGTGGCTCATGCTGTAATCCTAGCTACTCAGGAGGCTGAGATCTCAGGATCAAGGTTCAGAGCCAGCCCAGACAGGAAAGTCCATGAGACTCTTATCTCCAGTAAACCACTCAGCAAACTGGAAGTGGTGCTTTGGCTCAAGTGGTAGAACACTAGCTGTGAGCTGAAGAGCTGAGGGATAGCGCCCAGACTCATAGTTCAAGCCCCACAACTGACCCAAAAATATATACTTGGTTTTTTTTTTTCTTTCTTTCTTTCTTTTGTTGCTGGTCTTGATGTCAGGGCCTGGGCTCTACACTTGAGCCACAGCACCACTTGGAGCTTTTTCTGAGTAGTTTATTGGAGATAAGAGTTTCATGGACTTTTTTGCCTAGGCTGGCTTTGAACCAAGATTCTCAGATCTCAGCCTCCAAAATAGCTTGAGCCATCAGTACCCATATCCTGCCCCTGACTGTTTTTGTATCGCTGCTGGGGATTAAACTCAGGGCTTCATGCATTCTAGGCAAGTACAGTCCCATGGAGTTATTCCCCAACTACGTTTCCTTAAAATTTAAAGATGTGTTAAGTATTGATTTTTTAAAAAACAACTAATATGAAGAAATGGTTCTTAGAATAAGCAATACAAAGGGTTCTTTCACATAAAAAGAGATACCCAATCTCTTTTACCCGATCTCTTTTATAACACAGGACAGGCTAAAAAGAAAAAGCTCTTATGATAAATAATTTTTCATGTATTAGATTGGCAAAGCTCAGAAAGATTGAGGACAGGGGCTGAGGATATAGCTGAGTGGTAGAGGGCTGGTCTAGTATGTTCAGGGTTATGGGTTTGATCCTCAGCAACACACGTGTGTGTGTGTGTGTGTGTGTGTGTGTGTGTGTGTGTGTGTGTGTGTGTGTGTACACACACACATACACATACTTATTTATACTATGGACAAACTGTCCATTGAAGGATTTTTAAAAACTGGAAATAGTGGTTGTTTCCTCAGAGTGAAGCCTGTTGAAGAGCAGAGGTATAAATATCCATTCTAAACTCTTTTATGCCTTCCAAATTTTATTGTCAGGGTGATGTACAGAGGGGTTACAGTTACAAAGGAAAGCAGTGATTACATTTCTTGTCTAACTTGTTACCCCCCTCCCTCATTTTTCTCCCATTTCCCCCCCATCAAGTTGTACAGATAATTTCCAACATAGTGTCTTGTGAGTATCGCTATTGCATTGGTTCCCCTTGGTGAGACAAATTGGTGAGACAAATGTTTGTGTGTGTGTGTTTGTAAAAATACTTACAGAGGGGTTACAGTTACATGAGTAGGGTAATGAGTACCTTTCCTATCGAGCATTGTTACCTCCTCCTCTGATTTTCCCCCACCATCACTTCCCTCCCTCCCTCCTCAACTCCTCCCCGCCCCCAACATTGCAAAGTTCATTTTCAACATAGTGTCCTGTATATGTCATTGTCACAATGGGTCAACCTGCATGCCCATTTAAGCATTCCACTATATCCCCTCCCCTCCCCAAATTACAAAAATGTATATACAAGATGCAAAAGACAAACTTTTGAAATATATATTTTTATTGTAAAGATAATAATACTCAGGATACCAAAATCAAATGCAGTGACAACAGGGGATAAACCATAGGGGGGAAAACACAAAAGAAAAAAGAAATCATATAGTACATTAAAAACAAAGAAAAGCTTCTTGCATCCATGTCTTGGAGTTCATTTCGCTTAGCTATTGAGCTTTTCTGCTCATCTGCTAAGATTATCTTAGACATGCACTAAGTATTACAAATAAGGGAACTCATGGGATCTATGTTTCTTTGGGTCTGGCTTGCTTCACTTAATATGATTTTTTCCCTAAGTCTTTCCTTTTCCTTACAAATGGGCCTTCCAAATTTTGTATCATGAGCCTGTATTACATATTCAAATAAAAAAATTGAGAAAATGTGTGTTCACTTAGCATTCTACTCAGTAACATACTGTGATTGATTTATTGTAAGAATCATGTTTTAAATTATATCCCATTTGCACTAACTTTCCCTTCATTATCTTTGACAGAAGCATTTTAAGAGATGTTCCACATCTGCCTTGGGTCTTTTTCTCCTGGCTTTCTAGCAAGAGTCCTTTTTCTGAAGAGAACAGAACTCCACAAAGTGGCACATAAAGTAGCTGTTCTACCAAGGTAATTTCCTGTCCTCAGCTAGATGAGACTGGTTCCTGGGGAGGAATGAAGTGAACCCACTCCCTTGGCAAGATCTGGTGGCTAAGGGGTGTTTTATGCCCAAATGGGCCCTTGGGTGGCATCACTTGATGAAGCCCAAGGTTACTAAAGATACAAGCTCTTCTTCATGAAACAATGGCTCTTGGGATCTGGCTGTGCCCCCTTACCCTCTGCTGCCCTGGATTTGCCTTTCTGGGCAGCCTGTAAAATCATCTCTAGCTCTAGTCTGTGCACATGTCTTTGCTTATTTCTCCTTCTTGGTCTCCTAAACTTCAAATGAAATACTGTCCTTCCTGTGAAATCTTTCAAGAGTCCCAGGACAGTCACAGATGTTGCTCCTAAGCCTACAGTCTTGTAGCATGATCTTAGCTGGGCATGGAATACTCTTCCCCCCAGTAAGCTGGGAAACACTGGGACCTTGTTGATGGCAGTGCAGACCAGGCAGGCTGTGGTCCAGGTGAAACCTACACATCATGTCCAGATGAAGGAATTTTTGTTTTTGGTGCTGGAGATGGAGCCTATGGCCCCTGACGGCTAAGCAGGTGCTTTACCAGCCCTAGACCATGTAAGTTAGGTCTAAGGGACTTTGTTTTTCTCTAGGACCTAACACTCAGAAAAACAACCTGGAACTTCCTCTTCTTCTCTGGGAAAACATCAACAGGGTCGAGGACGTAGCTGGCCCTGGTAGAGGCCAGGGTCACGGTCACGGAGCTCGTGGAGGTAAGGCAGAAGACAAGGAATGGATCCGCGTCACCAAACTGTGCCACCTGGTAAGGACATGAAGATCAAGTCTTTGTAGAAGATCTATCTTTCCTCCCTGCCCATCCACGAGTCTGAGATTGTTACTTCTTCCTGGGGACATCACTCAAGGATGAGGGGTTGAAGATTATGCCTGTGCCCAAGCAGACTCGAGCTGGCCAGTGCACCAGGTTCAAGTCATTTGTAGCCACTGGCAACTACAATGGCCATGGCTGTCTGAGTGTTAAGTGCTCCAAGGAGGTGGCCACTGCCATCCGGGGGGCCATCATCTTGGCCAAGCTCTCCATCGTCCCTGTGCAGTGAGGTTACTGGAGGAACAAGATTGGCAAGCCTCACACTGTCCCGTGCCAGGTGACAGGCCGCTGCGGTTCTGTGCTGGTGCGCCTCATTCCTGCTCCCAGAGGCACTGGGATTGTGTCAGCTCCTGTCCCCAAGAAGCTGTTGATGATGGCTGGCATCTATGACTGCTACACTTTAGCCAGAGGCTGTACTGCTACCTTGGACAACTTCGCCAAAGCCACTTTTATTGCCATCTCCAAGAACTACAGTTACCTGACCCCTGACCTCTGGAAAGAGACCGTGTTCACCAAATCTCCTTATCAGGAATTCACTGCCCAACTTGTGAAAACCCACACCAGCGTCTCCGTGCAGAGGACCCAGGCTCCAGCTGTGGCTACCACATAGAATTTTATACAAGAATAATAAAGTGAATCAAGCCTGTTTTGAAAAAAGAAAGAATGAAAAGAAAAAAGAAAAACAGCCTGGAATTCAACACCTAAGTTCTGAGCCAAAAACTGCCTCCCCTTGCATGAAGGCTGTGGCCTTAGGCATTGCTCCAGGCCAGTGAGGTGGTACCCGGTGAGATGGACTGATTACCAGAGGGTGCTCTGCGTACCCACAGAGGTGGTGGTGACAGGTAGCCAGGGGTGTAAGCTTTCCTTTACATGCTTTCCCCCCCAAGGCTCAGAGATTCTTAGGGGTTCAGAGTTAAACACAGAGCATTATCAACAACATAAAGCATGGCAGCAACACAATGCCCATCCTTGAATCAATGGATAAACAAAATGTGGTATGTAGATACAACGGAGTATAACTCACCCTTCAAAAAGAAAAAGAATGTATTTCTGCTTTGAAAAAGAAATGGGAAATTCTGATGCATGCTACAACTTTACTAAACCACTATTGTAAGTAGAATAAGCTAGTCCAAAAGGAGACAGTGTATATTCCACTTATATGAGGTATCTAGAGTTGTCACATTCGTAGTGACAGAAAGGAGAAGAGTGGTTGCCAGGGGCTGGGGGAGGGGAGCAGGCAGTGTGTTTACTGGACAGAGTTTTACAAGATGGGGATTTGGGTAATAATTGCACATGTGGTAAGACTTCATGTCCTGATCTATACACTAGGAAAGCATACATTGCCTGCTTTGCTGATTTTACAGTTATTTTAAAGAGAGAGAGAAGGCCTTGATAGAAAGATCGTGAATGGGGCTCTGGGCTCTGCTGATTCCCAGAGTGCTGCATCTCAGCCCGGTTGACCTCTGAGTCTCATTGTCTCCATCTGTGAAACAGCAGTGATGATTACATATCTCCTTGTAGTGCCATTTCTGGCTCCCTGGAGATCTGCACATAGACCTGGAGATATCGCTCCTGCTTGGCACCTTCTCAGTGCTGAGCAAGCTAGACTATTGTGCGTATAGTTATTATACACTTACCACTCAGGGAAGCTATCACCCAAACTCTATAGTTTAGGGCCCTTGGTTTCAAGCTAAGGCTAAACTGACAAAGAATGATGTTTGCAGAGGCTGGGATGCTGTGGGCAACCTTCCTGGATCTTCCCACTTGTGGGTCAGCATCCCTCCCTTGCCAAGGTGGACCAGTCCTTCAGGGAACTCTGTGCAGCTTCACTTTGCCCTGCTCGCTTGACCCCCCCCCCTTCCCCCACTCCAAAGAAAACACACACAACCCCCCCCCCCCCCACTTCTCCCTCAACTTAAAACCTCCACCATTGCCAGACTCCCAAGGAGAGTCGCTCATTACTTGTGGACAGCAATAATAGTTCATTTTCTTTTGTTTGGATTAAACAATAATTTGATTGGAAAGTGTTTCCTGGTGTAGCAATTAAGGAATCACTGGAGGGAAAGCCGAGGGCATTTCAGCCAGCTAGTCATTAATTCCCAGGAGATGTTAGGCCCACAGCGTGTTCCCGGTTGGTATCAACTCTGAAATTGGTGGGAAGAAAAAGAGGGGGAGTGGGGAAAGAAAAAAAAAACTCAAGCAATTTCTTAAGCAATGGAGAGTTAAAAAATGGGGTAGTATGTTGCCATAGACACGCGCCCTGGCTCTGGGCGGCCCTGGGCTGTCCTCCACGGCCGCACCCCACTGCCCTGCCATTGGACATGGTTTTCAGCAGCACAGCTTGCCTCCCTAGTACCTCTAATGAATACCTAGCTCCAGGCTCCCACGAAAATCCTCAAGCCTCCACTTGTCACCATAATTTCCTTGGGAAGTGTTTCTAATTACACAGTTCTTGCTGCCTGCTCCAGGTCAAGGCTTATTGTATACAGTACAGGAATTACATAAAACCACGAAACAGGGAGCAGGGACTCTGGATCAGTCCAAATTACCATGTAGTTGTTTTTAACTTAGTAGTTAAGCATTAGTGGGTGTAATAGGGCCTCATTTGTGTGAGCAAAAACATGAAAGGAACAGCACGTATCTTAGTTCTTTATAATTTTCTCTAGAGGTCAGAACTCTTTCAGCAGGACTTCTAAATAACAACAGAATTTCTAGCTTGAACACACAGGCTGTTTATTTTACCTAGTTATCAGGGGCTTTGTAAAGGGGACTTCATTATTTTGTTTTGTTACCTGAGATCTACCATTGAGGAAACTTCTGGTGCTTTAGTTGCCTGAAGGTGAAAACACCATTAGTTTTAGACTTTCAGGAAATTCTTTAAGATATAAGGCAATGTTCAACATTTGCCAACTGTTTTCAGAGAAAACAGCAGTCAAGCAAAATCTATATGCAGATACTACTGTTTGGATAGTAAGTTTTATTAGAGTTGGGGTGACTTTTTAGCTCTTAAGGGACAAAAATGGTTTTCTGAAAGCATGGACTTGGGCTAGATAGTGGCAACACTCACCTCTCCCTGTCCGGCAGCCTTGTATTCAGGAAGGTGGAGCATCTGCAGGATGGAGAGGTGTTGAATACTGTCTGACCATCAAGTTGAAGCTCCCAGGCCATTTTCCAGTCAAGGAGAGCTAGTCCTTTCTTGAGGACATTATTATGCTGAATGAAATAAGCCAGTCACTAAAAGGTGGATTAAGAATGAATCCACTTGTGTGAGATATTTATTGAGGTACAAAATCATATAGTCAAGGTGAAAGACTGAAGTTAGGACCCAGGGCCCCAAAGACAGTATTTTGTCCTAGCAGGCCAAAACTAGATAAAAGAGACATTGTTTCAAAACACGGTGTCTCTGACCCTTTCTAGGCTTTTCTACTTTCTATAATCTTCCCTATGACTCCAGGGAGAGGGCCTGTAGAAAGGACCAATCTATTTAGGAATTAGCCATCACAAAAACATTGTGAGACCTACCAATAAAATTGGGGAAAGAGAGGGAAGGTGTGATATTGTTCCAAAAGAAATGTACTCTTTACCTGACTTACATAACCTCTCATTATATCACCTTTATAATAATAATGTAAAACATTTTTAAAGTTAGCTTCTAAAACATCTGGTTAATAGGTCACTGGGGAGATGCCCTTGTTCCTTGTGGAGTCCTGGTCTCTGTCTTTTTCTCTTTCATATCCTTACCATGACATGAGTGGCTTTCCAACACGCGGCCATCATGGTGAGCCATCTTACCACGGGCTTCAACACAATGAAGCCAACCAATAATAGATTGAAAGATATAAAATTGCGAGCCAAAATAAGCCTTTTATAAGCTGGTTATCTCACATATTTGTTATACTAATAGAAAAAAAAGCTGACTTAGCAAAGGGTTTATCTCTATACCCTACTCCCACCCCTCACTACCCTGTCTCGAATCTAGGCAGACTTGCAACTCTATATAGTATGAGGAAGAAATGGATGGAATTGCAGAACTTCCAAGGCTTTCTTAGAAATGAAGCAGTTTTCACTTTATTCATGTATGTGGTCCTCTACCTAAAGGCTGTTGCCATGCTATAAGGAAGCTCAACTATGCAAAGAAGCCACTCTAGGTATTCTAGTCAATGGTCCCTGCTGAGGTCACAGTAAACAATCAACTTTAACTGCCAGGAATGTGTGATGCTTCCAAGTAATTCCAGCCTCAGCCATCATGTTACACCTTGTCCTTGCATCTTTTAAACTGAGGCCTTAGAAATTGTACAGCAGTCACTAAACATTGCTGCTGAGCTCTATCCACAGAACTGGTGGGCAGATACAGCAGTTGTTTCCAGTTATGCTTGGGGGTAATTTTTTTTTACATAATATTAATCTCTGGTATACCATCTATGACAATGACTCCCAAGTTTCTGTCTCTAAGTTAGGCCTCTTGCCTGAGCTCTAGCCTCATAGTGTCAAAGGTTATTTGTTGTTCATTGGTTTGTTTTAAGGCATTTCCCTTTGAAATCTGTCAGATGGCTTCTTGTGAACATTACAAGTCAAACTGATATTTTCTGTTGCAAAGCTGCCCATCCATCCTCATCTCAATAAATGACACCATCCCTTAGTCAATACACAATTAATTACCCAGGCTAGAAAGCAAAATACCCTTGTGACTCCTCTGTTTTCTTTCCTCACCCATCCAATCCATTAGTTAAATCCTAGCCGCTTTACCTTCAAGGCAATGCAAATAGGGCCACTTTCCCCCTGTTCCCTTGGCATTATTCTAATCCAAACCACATCATATTTTTGCCTGAACCATTGCTATGGCTTCCTTTACCTCTCTAGCTCTCACTTCTGTCCTTCTTATCAGGCCTAAGAAGCTTCTTAGTATTGTCTCTCAGCATCTGAAGGTTATTAGTTTCAGGACCCCCATAAATATAAAAATCTGAAGATGCCCAAGTCCCTGATATAAAATGGTGTAGAATTTGCATATTGCCCATTCTCAGCCTTCTGAATACTTCATACTACTGAATACAATCTAAATACTCTGTAAACAGTTGCCCTGCCATATTGGTTAGGGAATAGCAAGAAAAAAATCTCTATAAACATTCAGTTCAAAGGCCAACTAAAAAAATCAGTTTCAATCATTGATGATGGAGGGCCAAATGTAGTCATCTCAAAATTTAATTACAACAGAAGCCCTAAGTCCTCCTTGCTTACCTGCCTGGTGGCTGGCTGGGAGCCCATGTGGTCTGTACTTCCTTACAGTATAGTGTCAGGGTTCAGAGATGAATCATCCTGAGAGGAAAAGAGTCAGAGGCCATGTTGCCTTGTAGGACTTAGCACTATTAGCAGCATTATTTCTGTTACATTCTGTTGGTTGAAGCAGTTTCAAAGGCCTACCCAGGTTCAAGAAGAGAAAGCATGGACTCCATCTTTCATTGAGGTTTGGCAAATTCACATTCTAGAAGAGTATATAGGATGGAGTATGTATCAGTGAAGCTATATTTGGAAAATACAATTTCCTACATAATACATGATTACTGAAGTACAAAAGAAAACTGTCACTTGAGCATAAGTGGTTCATACCTATAATCCCAGATACTGAGGAGACTGAGATTTAGAGGACTTTA